CAATATAAATGACAGAGAACTAATAATACGTTGCACGATTTTTTTTTAATAGCATTGTACGCTCGCAGGATTAATTGAAGATGCATTTCAGCATTCAACGGAACTGCGAGACGTCGTGCGGCTATTTGCTTTTCATTTAACCGCTTAGGCAAAGGCTAAATTAAAACAATTAAAACGACGACGATTGTGTGAATTGCGTTTGGCGAAATAATATCGCGGGAACAAGGATTAATATCGCGTGTAAGGGAAACGTTTATTTACAAGACCGTCGTCTGGACCCGACGAGTTCTCATCTTCATTCGTAACATCCAGAGTGTGATTCACGGCCGGAGGATAGATGGTCATGTCTGCACCTGAAATTCGCCTGGACCTGGCTACACTATAGAACCGGTCCACAACGGTTAGATTAATGGCGCTATGTCAAGAGCGGAATTGCGTAACAAGTTCATCCCAAGGAGAAACGGATTTGGGATTGCCACGGCAATTTAAAACGCTTCGCTCTGTAATTCGCGCAGTAGCCTTAATCCACGAGTTAACTTAATCTTCGATAAAAAAAGGATGGTCCAGATAAAACTCGCCCACGTGGAGAAAATCGCGTTCGGAAACCGATCCCACGGGACGAGGAACATTTTTATTCGAAAAATTGTGGTTTTTTTTTATGAACCATTTCTTTCAAGTTAATACCAGCCATTTTTATTGAGTTTTTCCATCTTTTTTTTTAAATTGAATTAAGCTCATTAATTTATTTCTTTGAATTATTATCCGCCTCCGTTTGAATATGAATTTCTAGCTATTTCGGTGGCTTGACCACCACAAAGAATCCGCGGCATAATAATAAATCGCGAAACTTAAACCAATTAGAATTGCCGCTATTTTCATAGAATTCTCTACGGTATCCCGCTTTTGGATGGATTTCATATAAATGCCGCCGTATAAATTTCCGCGGAATTTAAAATGGAGGCCGGAACAACCGAAAACGAGAAAATCGAAGAAATTCAATTACGCCTCCTCGCATCGCTTCCTTCATTTTTCTGTCTTTTATTCGCGCTTTCTACAAACGGCGTGCCTTTTGCAATCGCGATGCCTAAGACAACGAAAAAAAATAAAGCTGTCGTTTTTCCATAGCACGCGTTCCGTTGCAACGCGAATCCGGCGACGAGGAATGATTTATCGACGGCAATTAAATTTAGCCCGGAACTTGCTTTTTTTCATCCTGGCGGTGTCAAAAAAAACCTCCGGCGGTACAAATTGATCGCACGAATCCGTCGACATTTACTCCGGAATACAGCACGAATTCCGGAACTTTCTGGCTTCCGGAAATTTTGAAATTATTTTTCTGTTGAGAGAAGTCCAAAAATTTAGGACACATCAGTACTCGATAGTATGTTTTAAATAGATTTTTGGAGTTTCGGATGTCTCACACGTCTTACTTATTAAAAAAAATTACACATATATATATATAACATATACTATTATGAAAGATATTACTAACTAATTACTAATTATGAATAAAAATAAAAAAGTTATGCGTTTACATAATAAAAAGTATTCTACCATAATTAATACACTATTAATTGTAATTTTTTATTATATTAGTAAAAAATTTCGGGTTCTTATTTCATACGACAAATTAACAACAAAGCATCTTAATAAACTTAATATTATTAAAAAATATTTGCATTATTTAATAAGATTGTGTTCTTTTCACAACAATAAGAGAGCAATTTTAAACTCTTTTGTTTGTTATAATTGTGAGATAATTAAAATGTACTGACAATTCATTGAAACTTTTCCTTTATATTGTACGGGCAATGTAGAAACATTACTAACTCGAAATGCCGCCGCCGCAATTTGCATAACTCTTGTCAAAGTTGCTCGGAACCTATATTGTTTACCGCTAACTGCACGCAGTGACCTACAGCTTCAAGTTTCGAGACAGAGCTTGTACCGAAATTGCGTTGGAAGTTTCGTGGGCTACACTATGTTTACGCATCTCCCTTTACATGACGAATAGCATTGTTTGAGAGGTACATTTCTAATAATTTTGCAAAGAAAAAATTGTTTCGATTACTTATAAGAAATTCAATAAAGATACAAAAAAAAATTTATAAGTAGAATTAAAGGGAGTTTTACCTTTGCCGCAAAATTAGCCCTTTTTCATTTTTTTAAGAAAATCTATTATATATAGTAAAATGCGGGTTTTTGCATAAACTTATATATTATTTGAACAGCAAAAAAATATTTTTTATTTATATATAAATGTGTTTTAATGCCTCCAAATGGCGATTGAATGTGGTATGTTTTTCGTGCTGACGGAAGTAATTACGAAAAAAAACGAATTAAGATATCGACTTGTTTTTTATTTTTTTTTTTTCTCTTGATCCTAATACTTTAACGCATGGCGTGAGCTAAAATGATGTCAATTGCTTAAAATTTGTAAAAATGGTAGTATTTCAAAAGAAAAAAATTTTTTTGCCCTAAAAATTTTTTAAATTTTTGTTAATGACAAATTGAATGTTTATTGTAAAATAATTTTAGTTCACGCCATGCGTTAAAGTATTAAAATCAAGAGGAAAAAAGAATCAAGTCGATATCTTAATTCGTTTTTTCATAATTACTTCCGTCAGCTCGAAAAACATGCCACATTAATTCAATCGCCACTTGGAGGCATTAAAACACATTTTTATATAAATAAAAAATATTTTTTTTGCTGTTCAATAATATGTAAGTTTATGCAAAAACTCGCGTTTTACTGTACATAATAGATTTTCTTAAAAAGATTCATGAAAAAGGGCTAATTTTACGGCCGGCAAAGGTGAAACCCCTCTTAAAGATAAATAAACAGTTTTAAAAAAGGAGCTGATAATTACATGTTACGGCAAAGCGTATATTAAATAAATTTCAAAGTGTTGTTCAAGCATAATGTCATAATTATATAAACACATAATTAACATGTACTTATCCGCGCTCGGTTTAATTTACCGACTTGTGTGCATCGTGCGAAGTTCTAATAGCACCTGCGGGTGTACATATCGATTACTCGAGTACGAACTCTCTCTCCCTTGATATAACGAAAAATAAAAGTATACGAGCGAACCGGAAATACTTGGTCTTGCAGGGGCGCATTATCCGCGCTCTCGCTTGTTAATTAAAACTTAACAGGATGCTGCAGCACGTACATCGTGTCGTATTATGCAGCTCTACGTAATGGTGCACTTAGTCCGAAATAGATTCGCTCGACGATAGCAGACGTTAAGTGCAAGATTAACGTGCCACTTATTAGCAAGTGACATATATATTTATCGTGGGGGCCGTGGCATACATGGTAGTATGCCTGCTCTCCGTATGGGAGACCCGAGTTCAAAACCATTTAGAACTCAAGTAAATAAATAAAAATAAATAAACTAAAAATCGGCCCCCACCGGTTCTTCCGGCCAACCGTCAGCACAACTCTGACGGCTGGATTCTGTAGGCCAACATATAGGGATGCTGATAAAGTGAAATAAATAGAAAAATTTATAAGGAACTAGCAGCTGCACTTTAATCTGTTAGTAAAAGCGAATTGCAGAAAAATACAATTTAAACATCTACAAATTTAAAAAAATAGATGGAATTTGATTATATTAATTATGGAAAAGTCAACTCAAAGAATATTTATTATAAGAATTTTCGTGAAGGTCGTGGCATACATGGTAGTGTGCCTGCTCTCCGTGTAGGAGACCCGAGTTCAAAACCATCTAGACCTCAAGTAAATAAATAAAATAAAAATCGACTCCCACCGATTTTTCCGGCCAACCATCTAATAGATTCGCTCGACGAATAGCAGACGTTAAGTGCAAAATTAACGTGTCACTTATTGGTAAACATATATATTTATCGAAAATTCTTATAATAAATGTTCTTTAATATCCTTTTTTCCGTAATTAATATAATCAAATTCCGTCTATTTTTTAAAATTTGTAGATGTTTAAATTATATTTTTCTGCAATTCGCTTTTAATAACAGATTAAAGTGCAGCTGTTAGTTCCTTATAAATTTTTCTATTTATCAGCATTCCTATATGTTTAGATTTTTTCCTCTATAAATTGTCTTTCTAATAAATTTATAACAAAAAGATTTTTATCAAAATCTCTAATAAAAGTTAATAAATTTATTTAATTCATTATTATTAAAATATATATTATTCTAACTGTTGTAAGAGAGATTCTCTTACAGTCAGATATTATAACAAGAATAAAATTTTGTCCAAATAGCAAATCGAAGAAAAACTTATTCGCGTAAATGGTCTATTTTGACAGATCGGAAGATCTCGTTTTATGTGTCAAAGTATACTTTCACGCACCTATGGCAATTTATTTGCTTTAAATTCAAACATTCTGTCATCTCTTACGGTATCATTAGTTGACAAGATGTCATGAATCGTGAGCGGAAAAAAAATTAGAATTTGCGACGGAATACGAGGGAAGATATGTGCTTTGCCCTCGAGAAGCTCCACGTGAGTGAAAATTTTTATAGTAAATGCTTCTCGTAAAAAGTTAATCTCGGATTGAAGATATACGGACGATTTTACATCTCTCGTATCTGCCAATCTCGCTTTCTCATATCGAATATCGTAAAATAAAAGAAAATATCCGTACGGAAACAGTATTGATACTTCTAATATAAATCTTTTGTACTTAACAATATAATAGATTGTATTATTTTGCTGCTTTATTACTGTGTTATATAGATACTATATTAGTTCCTGTTTTATTTTATCATTTTATTATATTATTATTTTGTCATTTCTATTTTTTCAAGTTACTTTTAATTTATCTTAATAAATTGGCGATCTAGTGTTACATAATTATATAATTGTTCGACACAATTATTTAAATTAAATACGTTTACAACCACGTTGAGCTTAATTATTCAAATATATATATTCAAGAAAGATTTATGAGTTAAAAATTCGTGCTACAGCTAAGTAATACTATTCATTTATTTAAAGTTTAAACAAATTGATGAAACAACATTTTATTTTAATACAATGTTTTTTTCATTATTGCAATATACGCGAATGAATTTTCAATCACAATTTAATTCGCAATAACTTTTTCATCTTTTATGTTCATATCTAAATTTAAAAAAGAGAAAATATAACTTTCTTTTCCTCGGTTCGTTATTTCTTTCTATGAATTTCGGGAAGGAGTACTTCCTCGCGAGCAATTTAACTTTCTAAGAGTCTCAGCCTTTCAGTCAAGAGATCCCCTATACGTGATGGCTGCCGGTCGTCAGACTTCTGAAGGCTTTAATACACTCTTTTCTGTCTGCTTGTCATTCGTGAACATCCGCTACCGACAATAAAAGAGGGAACAATAAAGAGAAGGAATAGCACTTTTGGCGATCGGCCAGAAAAGAATATTATCGACATCGATCACGAAAACTGTTGCACCTGTTTCGGAAGATGAGGGTAAAAGATCCTTGCCAATATCCGTCTTAATAATAAATGTGCACTTTATATGTAAAATCAAAAGAAAACAGATGACAGATTTAATTTAACAGACACGCGTGATAAAATGTAAGCGTTAATAAGAATTTTCTACATTTTGATCATTTAATCTGTGATTTTGTCACCGCGGGAGATCTCTTTTATTTATCTATTTGTTTAATTCTTTTTCCTTGCGGATAGGAGGGGTAAACCGAGGGTAACCGATACAAACGTCGAACATGAAAGCGGAAGGAGAACGATGTTTCGCAGTGTGACAAAAATTACCGGCTCTAAGCCGTCTCCGCGGCCGTCACGATCTTTCATGGAAATCATTTTACGAGGGGAATTGCATGTTGCCGCTCGCGTAACATGCCGCTGCCGTTACTCGCTTTATCAAGATGCAGGCACGTAGAAAATGGCATTTTAGCTATCGTCGATAACGCGATAACGCGTGCGCCTTTAGCGAAAATGGCTTCGCCGTCGAGCGAATATCTAGACTCCCGTATATAATATATAGCATTCTGCGCATACACGTGTGAAAATAATTCCAAAAAGAGACTCGAGAAAAAGTTATTATAACGATTTTTTCAGCCAAATTTTATTTTAATACTGATATATCGATATTTCCACGATTTGTTTATCAATTTATTAATTTATTATTATTATTTTATTCTATTTTTTTCTATATTTATTTTTATTAACATTACATTCTGACTTTTTAATTGATAATCCATAATTGTAAAGTAATGAAAAGATTAAAATATAATTGAATTGTCTCACATAAACACCTTATTTCTTTGTCTAATGAGTGTAATGAGTTTTGTACGTACCGGCCTTCACGTAGCCTTGACTTGTCAAAGTGCATCAGTTTCTCTCGGAAGACGCCGAGTAGAAGTAACGAAGTGAACGTTCATTGAAATTCCAGTCAGGTCGTCACCTTTGGTTCACAGCTTTATGTTACTTTCGGGTCGGGAAATTTATCGAGGATCGAGAGGGAAAGAGGAGACCTGCCACTGAATAATAGATGCTGGTCGCGTTTTATCGCGATGCCATTATTTATCGTCGGTTCGTTAAGGAGGAGACGGTCGAAACGCTCCTTCGCACTTGCTAAATCCCTAAATCTAGATGCTAGAGCCAGTCCCAATTGCCCAATTTAGGAGGACAGAAAATACGTTTTACGTAATTGCACGGAGATATACAGTACAGTATAATTGAGTGGTATATAATTTTGGAAGGACAATGAGAATTTTGTTAAAAATGCTCGTTGTTAAAAGACTTTACTTAAGCTCGTTACAAAATGGAGTCAAACTCGTAGCAGAAATTTTAATCCAAATACGGCGATTTACAAATTGCACGTGACGTAGCCTATTGTCCAAATGTCACGTATGCGAAAGTATACTTATATTAAATTTGAGCAACATGGACGAGTTGTAATCTAATATATTTTTTATCGAGGAGCATGTTTGTATGTCGACTATCGAAGGCAAGCTAAAACTAACAAAAGTTTTCCATTCGTACTGGCGCGTGAGCGATTCAGTGGATAACTGTGATACGCGCAGTCACAAAAGCCGTGAGGCAATGGGTTAAAAGAATCTCTTTGTCATACTAACAAAAAGCACTGTCACAATCACACGCGCTCTGTAAGTCGCCACGATCACTCCGAGCTGTCACACGAACCCTCTGCTCCGAACCGAGTTACAAATCGAATGTAACTTTTTTTATTTGGAGTATCGTCCCATTTAATTATTTCATCGCGTTGGATGTTGTTGCTCGTGCGTGGCAAGCCGTCGTCTCGCTTCGATCGATTCGGTAAAAAATAACGTCGCACGACTCGTCGCGACCAACCGTCCGACCTCAGCCAAGGATTATTTCGACTCCGCGCTCTCGCCGGAATGTAGCGCGCGTTGTATATTGCAAAGTGCGTGTGACTTTTCGAGGCCAAGGACTGTTTTGACTGGAACTTAAGGGAGGTCGATATACGCCTAGAGTCTGAACTTGTAACGCTATACACACACTTATGCGGGTATTATACCTTAACGACAAGTTCCTACATGTACAAACAAGTTGTTTAACTGATTATTTATGAATTACAAAATATCGTTTGATTAATATAAAGAATATTATCTCTGTATTCTCATTAAAAATGATTGATTTTAATTACATAATATTGATTGCGATTGTATATAAAGAGGATATATAATATATATATCTTATATGTCAGGGTAAATCCAGTATATTCGCCGCGCGAGGATTTACGCCGCAGAAGTCAGCAAAAATAGAAGTGAAACTAATTTTCTCGCAATCACTTTATTACATGCCTTTATGTTATATTAGTATTGTGTTGTGATTTTAGTTTTTTACTGTTAATATTTATAAAATTATTGTAAGTTAAATCGATTTATCACTGTAATAAGTAGCGCAATCATAAGTTATGATCTACATAAAATGATTATTGTAGGAAATGTAAAATGCTTTGTGGTTATTTCGTGGTATATAAGTGTAGAGGATTAGTAAAGGCTAGAGTATAGCAAAATACAACTGCTTAGCTTTTGTATTCTTTGTTTAGTTTATTGTCTCGTATATCCCATCTGTTTGGGATATACGGCATTTTTAGCGCGTCGGATTTATGCCGTAGCACAGACGCTCTATTATTTATTTATAAATATAAAAGTAAATGATAATACGTCCTTTACAATACATTAATCATAACATTCATGTACGTATATACTTATGTATGTATTTATTCATAATCTGTAATAATACGTTCTTTATTTATTTATTAATGAGTAAATGCAAATTACGTTGTCAATTCATGTGTTATTCACTATTATTATTTAGATTAATTATTTGTATATTTTTCGAGTCATTTATCCCACTCATGAGTAGCCGTATAACCCACTCCTATTTTTATAAGGCAAAAATGCAAGGGTTTAAAGAAATTTCTTTTTTAATATAAAAAATAAATAATTTCAATTTCTCATACTTTTTTATAATAGTATACAGATAAAGTTTTTACTGGCATAGTTCATTTAACTTAACCTTATAATAGATAGTATCTGATAAATTAAGTTTTTAATAGATGCGGTGTATATACCGGATTTACCCTATATATACTTTATATATAAATTATAATATTTCTAAAATTTGAAAAATTTCTATTGAATTTTTTGCAGAAATGATTAGAGCTGTACCCTAGCGAGAAGTGACTCATCGAATTGATGAATTGCCATCGAATTGATGTCGAATTGACGAATTGACATCGATACGATGATTTCGACGTCAATTCGACATCGATTCGACGTCTAATTGATGATCATTTCTCACTGGAACAGAAAAATATCTCTAAATAGAAATGTTATAAATTAAAGTATATATAACTATGTACAGCTCTGCAATCATTCTTGCATAAAATTCAATATGTCGTGCATAAAATGTTTATAAAATCAAGATTGCATTTAGAAAATTAGGTCATATTTCGTTACGAATGAGCGCGCTTTCGCGACCGTATTACGAGTCGATTTTTTACATCGCGCTTAGAGGAGATGAAAGCACAATGGAGACGCAAAAATCGAGACATGCTACAAAAGACTGCCACGCAAAAAAGATACACTCGCGTTCACAAGAGGGTTCATGGAATATAATAGGCAAGTACTTATCGTGAATAAGTAGAGAAAATCGATGTTGCAGCGACTTTGTTTTCATTTCTCAATCCCTCCTTCTTCGAAATATTATTTTTTCAGATATTGCATGTACACGAATTTATTGTTGAAGTTTCATTTTACTTCTGACATTTAACATTTAATTTTTTCTACAAAATCATTCTCTCACCGTCACAAATGTTCTTTTCTGTGTATATGAAATGCTCATGAATAGCAACTCCGCGAATCTACTTTTCTTCTTTCCTTATCGCAATTCGATATTTAAAAATACTAAAAAATTTATGATATCTAATATTTATCGGAAAATGATATCCAGAACCGTTGCGTCTTCTTCAAAAAATTCATCGAGCAAGCGGGAGTTAAAGCTTTCGTCATAAGTAACGGTTTTCCTCGTGCTTCATATATTTTTCTGAGACTTCTGCATCTCTCCAAGATCTCTCGTACTTTCCATTTCTCGCGTTTTCTATTTTTTATTTTTTTTCCCCCTAGCGCTTTTTCCGGTTAAGTGATCCCCAGATACCGGAGTTCCTCATACTTTTAACAAGAAATCTCACGAGCGAATTAAAATTAAATAAAAAAAAGTATGTTCTTTCATTTCAATGATTTCAATTTAGAGAATTAAAATTTCGATGCGATATACGCGAAACGAGAAAGTGACACGTATGTGGAATATGATTCTAACTTCTACAAAACGCGTCTAAAACAAACGCTACGTTCATTAAAAAATTTCTTTTCACGTCACACACAATAAAGAGGCGAGTCGGGATTTTCGTCACTGGTCCGAATTTTATAACTATATATAACCTACATAACAGTCAGTTGACACAGCTTCCCGCCAGAGATTACAGGATTTGCGATTTATGCGTTCACGCGTGTATTTTTCCCAATTTCGAGTAATTCTCTCCTAACAAACGTGTCTCTTAAGACCAGAGACTGGTATGCGTTAATCTACACGAATTACATTGATTTATACCACATATAAATCGCGCCTGCAACGAATAATAACGTTGAAATAATTATTTCGGGGAATTTTAAAATTAATATCTTAATACTTTTTCTTAATATTTCTGTGTGCGTGTATGTTAATGTTTTTACTAATATAATTTTAAAATAATCTTAATGTATATTTTACATAAAAGAGATATATATATATAGAATTAATTTTATCTCTAATGGAATGTTAGTTGAAGATTTAATTATCCAGATATAATACGAAGAGATTGAAGAAAAAGATTGAAATCCTTTACTACTAAGAAATTACATCCGGATTGACCAAAGAATTCGTTTATATCAAAGGCATCAAGTGAAATCACGGTTCGTTTTATTAACGAGCCGTGAAATCTACTCTCTCAATGGCAAATATTATAAAATGGAGAAATTTCTGGAAAACTCTGCAATTTTGTTTGCAGATGTAATTCTATCGCGTAGCCGGCCGACATTGGTAAGTGCGTGTTTCCGATTACGTTGCCGGCGGCGATATACCCCGGTAAAATCAGTTGGCCCTCGATACTCTTATTTACTCGGTTAATGAAACAGAACGGAAACAATAGTTTTCCAACGGAGTTTTCATTGTGATATTTATTTATGGTTGTTTTTTCTTCTGCTTTCTTTGCTCTTTTATTTTAGCGCTTATTTCTCTAAACTGCGGCATAAGCTGTGACGTACAGGATAAGTCACGTAAACGGATTATTCGTTGAAAATAAGATAAATCGAAAAAATATATAAGGATAGAAAAAAACATACAATTTCATTAATAATTACGTAAATATTCTTATGAATCTCTAAATGAATTACTAAATATTAAATAATTAATTTTATTTAAATATAATTTAATATCTACCTCAAAATAACTAATAGAGAAAATATCTAAATAAGTTATATTTAGCTTAAGTTAAATAACTATGTTAATGTAAATAAGTAATAAATTAAATAAATGTTTTAATTAAATATGATTAGTCTTAGGACTCAATTCATATAGCCCTGGTTTTGAGGGATTCGTCCGTTAGATAAATCCGCCGCATTGCAACGTTTCACACTTCACTCGGAAACTGTGGCATTCGCACACAAATGAAAATTACTAGGATGCGCGTACCTACGTACGGTGTACGGGATTGAATACAACAGCGAATAGCGCTGCAGCTCGATTGTATGCAATGTGTGTTTACGGTTGTTTCGCGTCACCGAATACATCAGGGCGACTGGAATAAGAATGGGGTATGCTCCAACGACAAAGAGAGATAGGTACAGTACGAGTGCGTGATGCGTTGCTTTCGTTGCTTCATAGCACCGTTCTATTCCGACTGAATAATAAAAAAAATGTTATGACAGTTCGCACTGATATGAATGTGACAACTTCCGGATATGTGCGAAATAAGATTTCACCATTTCGAGAAGCTACAAACGCTTCAAAAAATCCAAACAATAGTTGCCATTCCGTCTAGTGATTAATAATGAAAATTTTTAACGAGAAGAATTAATATTTAAAGAGATACATATATTTTTAATTAAAGAAAATATACATATAAATTTAATATATTAATCTATTTTGATATTTGATTATTTCATTATTGTTAATTTCTTTAAATGTGAATATTATTTACCGAAACGAAATTTTCGATTTCAGAATCTTAGATCGTTTAATTCTTAAATTCTTAATTGCGAAAATTGCCAACTTGAAAGGGTTAATTCAAACTCTCAACGTAGGATCCTTTTTCCACTTTTCCTCTTTCCCGATGTTTCGTTTTCCCATTGTAACTTAAACAGCTTTCACGAGACTTCCTGTATCGCGTAACACGATCCGGCACTGCGATTTTACAATAGTGATTCTCGAGTTTCGTGCGATTGTCGTGTCGCTCCATTTACTACGCAAACGACAAGTCGACATCTATCGTGAATCTCGAATTGTCAGGAGATCAAAGAACTCTTCAATGCGTCGCTTAATTGCGGCCGAATGTTTTCATTTAATCATCAAACGAATTAAAATGAAGGGCTTTAAGTGATAACAGATTTCCATATTATTCTCTCATTAATATATATTATTTTGTAATATATTCATAATACTAATTGAATTATAAAATGATTTTTTCGCTTTGTCAAATTAGAAAGAGCATATTAACATCTCTTTCCGTATATTTATTAAATAACTAAATATATTTATTAAATAGCTGCATTAATTATTTATTAAATTATTAAATTATTAATATTATAATCGTATGTTTATTGCGCAATA